ATCATTGTTGGTTTGAATTTGAGAGTGTCTGTGAACAGGATTGCTATCCCTGCTGTTTTCTGAGATGCTGGGTTATGTAGTATTGTGTTCCATCCTTTGACTTTCAGGCTATGAATGTCTTTATGAGTTAAATGTGTATCTTGATACAGCATATTGTTGTATATTGTTTCATTATCCAATGTGCCAGTCTATTTCTTTTAATTTTAGAATTGAGTTCATTTAAATTAATGGCTAGAATTGAGATGTTTTGAATTACAATTTACATGTTGTTTACCTGTTTTCTTTTACTCCTTTTTCTCCTGTGTTTAATTGCTTACCCTATTTAGTTGGTTGCTTCCGATCTCATTCCTGGAGCTCTGATCATTTAGGTCCCTCTCTAGAACTTCTTTCAGTAGCCTTTTGAGGGTTGGCTTTGTCATCATGAAATTCTTTAGCTGTTCTTTGTCATGAAAGTACTTCACTTCTCCATCAAACTTGAAAGAGGGTTTTACAGTGTATGGTAGTTTGGGTTGCATTTTTTTTCATAGAGGACTTGAAGTACTCTGCTGCATGCTTTACTTGCCTTCATGGTTTGTGAAGAGAAGTCGGCCATATTTCTGATGGGTTTTCCTTTCACTGTGGTCTCCTGCTTTTCTCTAGTGGCTTTCAGTAGATTATTCTTTTTCTGAATTTCTGGGATCTTGACTACTATATGTCTGGGTGTGCTTTTCATTGGCTTAATGTTACTTGGTGTTCTCTATGCTTCGGTTACCTGAATGTCCAATTGTTTCCTCATATTTGGGAAGTTTTGTGCTATTACTTGTGATCATATTTTTTAAATGTCACTTTTATTGACTCCTTCTTTCTCATTGATGCCAATTATTCTCACATTTGTCATATTTACATCAACTCAGAAGTGATGGATTATTCTTTCCTGCATCCTCGTTCCTTTTAACAGATCCTTTCTTACATTTTCACTAGCTGCACCAGCATCTTCAAGATCTACAACTCTGTCTTCACTTTCACTTAAACTGTTTTGCAAGCCTGTGATTGTGGTTTTAATTTCCTCTATTTCTCTTTGACTCTGCTTCCTGCTATCTCTTTCTTTCCTATATTGCTCATTCAAGGAGTCCGTCATTTTTCTACTCTCCTCTATTTTTTTAGCAATGTCTTCTTTTGAAGCAGCTATAAATTCTTTTACTGCAGTGTTTTTTCATATTGTGTTTCCTCCCTATGTTTCTGTAGTTGGTTCTTTACTTTAGATGCTATAAGTTCTGACTATTCTTTTTTTACTTCTGATAAGAATTGCATTCTGAGTTCCTCTATATCTTTTAGCTGTTGATTATTTACTATAGATGCTATTAATTCATACATTTGTCCCGAGCTTGTGTCCTCTGCACATGTTCTGAGTGGGCATTGGGTTTCCTCCATATGTTCCTGCATTTGATTCTTTATTGCAGATGTTATTAATTCAGGGATTTCTTTTTTATTTTCCAATCTGAGTTCCTCTATACCTTTCTGCAGCTGTTTATTTAGAAGCCGTTGATTGTTTGCTTTCAGCTGTGATTCCCAATTTGTTCTGTGTTAGTGTCCTCTGCACTTGTTATGGGTGGGCTTGGGTTTTGAGATTGCATTTTGTTCCTTCTCGTTGTCATTTTGTGTAGCACTGTCTTCTGACCTTTGTTGTTGATCTTTGTTGCTGTCATATCCTCAGCTCCTACTGAAGTTCAGGTGCAGATCTACATTGTTTGTATTTATCCAGCTGTGCCTGTCTTGGGTCTGGCTGCTGTGCTCAGCTCTTTCCTGTTGCTCCCCTTGGGGGTGAACCTGTTGTGCCCCTCTGGTAAGATGTTCTTCTCCTGGACAAGCTGGGTTGTTCTGTCCCCTACAGTCTCTACAGGGCTTGCAGCTGCAGGGTTTCACCCAAGCTTGTATGCCAGGCCTGAGCTGAATCTGGAGAGGTCAAGATGGTGTGTGGGGGGAGAGGGAGCTCTCCTACACACTCACTGCGCCTTCTCTAGTACTGGATCTTCAGTTTCCTGGAACACGGCAGAAATTCCTACTAGGCGGGCAGGGTTGAGGGGGTACTACGGTGTCATGGGGGCGTCTCAAGGGCATGGAAGAGGGTATCCCCCACTTACACCTGTGCTGGGACCTGTAGGTCCCGCTGGTGCAGAGTAGTTGGAAGCTCTCCCACACACTCACCGGGCCTGGGCTAGGACTGGTTCTGGGGGTTACTGGAATGCAATAGAAATTCCTACTGGTGGGCGTGGTGGGGGAGGTGCTGCGCTGTGTTCTTGCCAACACAAGGCATTGGAACAGTGTCTCACCCATGCTGTGCCTGGCCTGCCACCAGTATGTCCCACCAGCGCAGGGTATCCGGAGGCTCTCCCACACAATCATCGGGCCTGGGCTAGGACTGGGAAAACAATCTACTTTAAGCAACAAAACTTTCACCTTATTTATCTCTATGTTGCTTGTCATGATATACCAATTATTGCCATACTCTTTCTCAAGTAATTGTTTTTAAAAAAGGTAATAAAATATAGAGATAAGAAAAAAATGTCACAGGACTGTCCGCTACAATGCTGTATATGGTTAGATTTCAAAATTTCTCTGTAAAAATATGTAATTGTGTACTCATACTTTTAAAATAATTTTTTAATTTTTTTCATTATATTCTGTAGGAATGTAAGTTTAGCATATCAATTCTGGATGGAAAATACATATTCCGTGTTATAACTAAGAAGTTTGATATTTACAGATAGTTAGGTTAAACTCAACAGCATATGTTGTAAGGTAATAATAAGCTTCTTTTCTGGAGTGTTAAAAACCTAAGTTTTCTGACCAAAAATTAGAGAAAAAGAAATGCTGCAGAACAACCAACTTTTGGCCCTAGACTTTCAAGGTCAGTGAAGATTCAGCACATATGAAAACCTATACTGTAACATCATGTAACTCAGTGGTGTCCCAAATTTTCTGATCAAGGAGTTTATGAAGCCACAGAGGAATGTGATCTATGATGTAGAGCTTGACTAAAGAGAGTCACATGGAGAGAAAACATTCTCTCAGTCTTTCACGGAGAGAAAATTGGTCAAACAAGGGCCGTGACTCATCCATAAGGCTGACACTGAAAAAGGATCTGCAAATTTAGTACAGGGTTTCAGGGTAAATACTGAGGTGATTTGATTGACCTTATCAGATACAAAAGTTACATTCCTTGTTATATAAGTCTTGCTTTATCTTGGTCTTAACCATTCAGCAGAAACATATAAAAACGAGGTATAAGGAGTGAAGCCATGTTGGTATGCTGGGCTGTAAAGGGCTCAAGTCAACAACTTCTGACATTACCAGAACTGCAGATGACCCACTACTATTATGGACTGCTGGACTATATTGGAATATTTTGCTGAATTGATGCACCTACAATATTTAAATGACAATGGAAGGGTCTATAGGTTGTTCAGGGTCTCACTACTAGATCGGATTCATAGTGATTCCCCTGTTTACAGCCTCCCAAGAGCAAAGATTACAGGCAGTCACCACCATGCACAGTCTCAATTACAGTCTCAGCACATCACAGGGGCAGGGCCTGCAAGGCAGGCCCGGGGATCAAACCCCTGGCCTCTGTGCCTGCTTGCAGGTGCTTTAATTATCTGAGCTATTTGACAGACCCTCAATTAACTTTTATTTTGTTCTTTTCCTTAATTTTATTGAGAAAGAAATAGTAATGAGACAGTTTCAAGGGAGGTTAGTGGCATAGTAACAATAATTAATACATTGCATACTGTTATCTTAGTACTTATTAGTAGTAGTTATTCAGAGTACATGATGCAGACATGATACCAAGTCTAAACACTTTTAGTATAAATTTTTCTTCTCATTGAACTAAGAGAATGTAGCTGTATAACTATGCTCTTTTGTATATACAGATATATATTTTTTCACTGCAATATGGACCTTCATTCATATCCTTTTTTGTTTAGTTTGGTCAGAGTTGCATGTTCCATCGCTGTTCAAATACGGTAGATGTGTGAATTTGGCAAAATATATTTTGTGGCCTGGAGAGATGGCTCAGTGGAATAAG